GCTCTGATGCAAATCACTTCTCTGTAGGTACTGTACACCTAAGACTAGACATATAGTCTTAGGTATACAAACATGTATCCTTTCATGCCCATGACACACACTACAACCAAAAAATTAAAATAGACTTTAGCAAATATGAACACATAATTTAAGATTATACAACGCACAGAATGGGGCAGAAGCTGAATTATAGCTGTTTGACTTTCCAATCTTAGTTGTCTTTTAAGGCAGCTTTGATTAGGGCCTTTGTACTTGCCACAAAATTGGCCTTTAAAGCAGCTTAAATGCCCTTTTGCACCACTTTAACGGAGTTGCTGTTTGCATGCTTGGCGGCATATTCTACTTTAAATGACTTCAGTACGTAGCAAGATAAAACAACTGAGGTATTTTAGTTTGCTACCTAACAAAGTGCAACTGTGCATGGGGTGCTGGAAACCAACATGCTTGGGGCTTGGTAGGCCACATGCAGCTCAGGGGCTGTGGGACTGGGCCCGGCCGCAGCTCATGAAGGTGGGCTCCACTGAAGAAAAAAAAAAAGCAGCGGGCCTGATCTTTTTTTTCATCCCAAAGCCTGCCTGCCTGAGCTGTGCAGGGGCCTGGTGATTCCTTCCGTGGCTGTATGGGGGCTGGCGCTTCCCACTGTGGCTATGGCCTCCCCTGGGACCGCCTGGGTGCCCCTAACAGGGTCTGCTCAGCCCGCCAGCAGCTGCCCCCCCCCCGGCTGAAGAGGCAGCTAAAGATCAAGCCCCCACCCCTTGTGTATACCCCACAGGGGTTTAGTTTGGTTTAATTCTCCCTACATTGAAGCGGTGTTTTAAAAACCCACCATTTCAATTTAGGGAGAACTAAACCGAATCAAACCCCTGCAGCGTGTACAAGGAGCCTTAGACTTTTGAAAACAAACCAGGAAAAAAGTCATGAAGTGATGGATTGGCGCCTTGGGACATCAGTAGGGATATAAGATTTAGATCCAGTGTACAGATCTCTGCCACCTTAACTAACTCTTGACAATAATGTGCTAGGTGAATCAACATTAAATAAGACCAGCATACTTTGCAGATTTGGTGGCAGAGGCATAATGACGCTTCAAGAATCCATTCCAGCCTCTGGAAGGAAGAGCACATGTCCTGGGCTGCAGTATGTACAGTGAGGATGGATTCTTCAAGGAATTTAGCTGTTAAAATCTGAAGTTTACTGGAATATATTTCAATAATGGATTTACAAAGACATAGCTTTGTCAAAGTTGGGGATAACAGAAGACATACCCCTGGTATATGAAGGCTACTGCCATCACCAAACTTTAGCCTCTGCTCCAAAGTTGCATGACCTTATGAAAAGCCTTAACAATGGGTAGAAAGAGACAAATCCCTTGAAACAGTCAGTGTTAAAGGGGTGTAGGTTGTAGCCGTGGTAGTCTAAGGACATAGTCAAACAAGGTTCTTTGGGTGAATCTGAACACCAACTGCTGATACTTCCTTAGCCTGACAAAGGGTTTTTGAACCCAAAAGCTTGCTTAAAAAATTGTTTTCCAGCTATTTAAGTTGATCTAATAAAAGATATCAGATTCACCCAACGAACCTTGTCTGCCTTGAAACAATCAGAAAACTGTGAGAAGGCCTAAAGGTAGAAAAATGTAGACCCCAATAACAGCCAGGAAAGCCTTGTGATAGTGCGTGCAGAGCAAGGGTTGGGAATGAGAGTCTGATCTGGCCCATGCCCAGCCTCACACCACTCTGCCAACTCACAGAACTGAGGGCCTGATCTGGTCCATGCCCAATCCCACACCACTCATTCAGCTCACAGGGCTGAAAGGTTGGACACTACTATTAGAGCATATTCTGGGATCACAATCATGTGAGAGGCAAACATTACTCTGTCCTTCCTATTTATTAGGAGGAAATGGGCCCCAGGGTGGAAAAAAGCTATTAGCATTACAGCATTAAATGACTGACTGGAACACAGTAAGGAACAAGAGACTATATCCTGATCCTATCACCTGGCCTCTCTTACTGGGCTTTTTCTATCCGTGTCTTACTATTTAGGGCGAAAAAACCCATAGAACTTGAGGGGTCCCCCTACATTTACAAGCAATTGCCACTTTTAATCTTCACACCCAAGTACATGGCATAACACCTGAAACATCAAGAACACTCTGTAACATATCATAGGTAAAAACAGGGAAGACAAGGTCATTGCCAGTGCCTTGCTACTGCAAAAATTGTTATTACATGCTCAAAAGGTCTGGGGAAAAGACCATGAGCAACACTACAGAGGCAACTACAACTCCCACCTCATGGGTCTAGAGGTAAAGCAATCAATTTCTCCCTAACAGTCAGTCACCCCTTTAATGAGAAATCTGATCATTTTTTCAAATATTGACACTTTCTGAAAAAGGGGATAAAACAGAACCATTCACAACTTTTACTAAAGATTTTTGGTATTTGCCCCTTCACTCCCAGACTAGCATTTTAGATGGACATAATATTTTATTTAAATTCTGCTATTTCTAGGTTAAAATTAACATTTTGGGGTTTCTTTAAGCATAAAAGGAGCAAAAAGGGCCAAAGGCTGACTTTGAAAAAACACTGTTAAGGCACTTTTAAAAAGCAAGTTATGAGACTGTCTGCCACTGATATTACTATTGTATACCAAAGCACCAAACCCAGGTGAGCAAACTGAAGAGGGGAAAAAAAATGGCCAGTGATACAATGGTTTGTTATAATTACACAATGTTCTACATAATATTAATCCCTATGCTATGAAACTGTAGAACTGGTCAAGAAGAAGTGAACATAAAAAAATTCAGTGATTTCCCTTATATCTAAAATGCCTATTATAAGAACCACTACGCCTATTACAATAGCATATCATTCAGAAAATAACAATGTTGTGCACATTCCCTGAGCTGACGATAAAAAGTCTGCTCTGGTGGAATTAAAAACGAACAGACAAACCAAACCTCTCTCACCCATGTGATCATGTGTCCTTTTATACAACCTTGTTTGTATGTATTATTTGAAAAAAAATTTCCTAGTGTTTGAACTTACTCATAAACCATAAACTTTCTCATTATAAAGCATTATCCAATACTGGCTTCCATATAAATGAATGGGAGAAGAGAGTACCTTGAAATGGTCTGTGGGTATGGACAAATGAACTTTAAGTCACTTTGAACAGAAGGGATGAGGCTGCTGCTTATAAATAGTGTCAAACATTACAACGTAACTGGCGTATCTGCATAAATAAGCAGCAATACAAGTTAGCCAATTGCCTTGGGACAGTTTAGCAATTGAATTGTAACAGCTTTTATCCATTTCCTTTGATATTAATATCACTGTTAATTTTGTTAATAACTTATCTTACACTGGGGTGCTCAATCCCCAGTCCACAGGCCAGATGTAGCCCCCAGTGCTGTGTCATCTGGCCCGCAGGACTCCCTATGGACTCCCATGGGCGGTGCCCCTGCATGCTAGGCTGGGCATGCAGGGCCAATCCCAGTGCACAGGGGCCAAACAGGAGAAGTGTGGGGCCCCTGAAGGCTGATTCCAGTGGATGGGGGCAGCACAAGGCCCAATCTGGCCTGTGGACCAGCCTTGCACCATTCATCTGACACACAAGGCCAAAACAATGAACACAACTGTCCTAGACATTATCTTATGACAGTAAGGAACAGAGGTCACACCAACTGCTGCAACTTTCATCATCCTTAAAATACTTGTCCACTCTGCTCCAAGGTCCCTCCAGCGGCACGAACAGCTACAGGCCACATCTGCTCAAACGAAAGAGTTGCTCTTATTTTAATTACCACTCCCCCACCCTTACCTATTTGTCTGTATAATCTCTCCCTCCCATCACCCCACTGTCAGTCTAAACTATTTAAACCCAGATGTGGTGTGCCCAAACCACCTTATTGCTAGTTGCTGCAATATCTACAATAGTGGAGAGACTCCTGGGACATGTTCACTATCTGCAGACATCATAAAATGACTAATTTGTCAGATAATGGACAAAGCATGTATGTATCATGCAGCCTTTTATCACATGATCAACTCATTCTTCTCTTACAGCTGATTTTTCTTTTTTGCAGAAACACCAAGAAAGGATATTTTGGGGTTATTCAGCCAGTCAACTGAGAAAAGAATGAAAGACCCAAGTATTTTATCAGGACTAGATAGTTGCAAAAGTATTAGCGCAATATACTGATTTTTTTAATGGGTAACTGGTTCAAACCCAGCTCTAGATTTAAGAGTACTCCAATTGCTGATTGGCACCTACATTAAATGAATTGGTGGCCGCAGTTCAGTTATCCTGGAGGTCTTATCTACTTGAGTGTAGAGTACTGAAGGTAACATGTGTGATAAAGAAAATGGACTTCATGGATTCTGATCTGAATTTCAGAAACCGGGGCAAGTTTCCCCTATAAATCTTGTAATATCAGTTTACACAAAATAACTGATTTTACTACAAATTAGAAACTGTACAAAACTTCCAAGTTTGTCTAAAATGTACAATTGAATGACAAACATACCTATTAAGCACAAAATGTAAAATTCTATTTTTTAATTTTACACTGTAAAAAAGAAAACAGCCTATTCAATAAAGTTTAAACACACTAAAGCTATGCCAAAAATTTCCTAGCTAATCTACTTCTGAATTACTGCTATTTTAACTTAGCCCATTTAAGGAAAGCAAACTGAATAAGAAGTTCTATGGCATTCTAGAGAAAACGGTAAGCCCAACTACTAAATAAAGAGGACAGAATAAAACTGAAACAGATGTGTATTATCTTGATGATGAATTTTTGTAGCTTAATTATAACCACCTGTTAGGCTTTTAACAAAACCATCATTTTCTAGAAATGGATTTGTAATCTACTGTGTTATTTTAAGGGCAAGAATTTATTACAATAACTTTATACTTCAAAGTAATGTGAACTTGAGTTAATACAGTATGAAAAACGTTAATCTTATTCTTTAAAAAGAGGCATAAAATTATCTTACCACATATTTTACAGCACTAATGAACTGATTGTGAAACAGCAGATGTTGAGTTTCATCCTCTGGATTTGATGCAGTATAAAGCATTCCACAAATATTGCAGGAAATAGCGCCAAACCTCTTTTGTCCTGCATCCTATTTAAAAGAAGGTATATTGTTCAAAAGTACAGAACAGAAATGGAATTCAATTAAAAGATTCCATAAGTAGATATGCAATTAAATAACATCTGTAGACACAGCACACAAGCTAAAATGGAGGAAGGGAAAAATACAAAAAATAGCGACTGGAAGCCTTACCCTCCTATAGCATTCAGACAAGTTGTCAGTCTCAAGACAGACCATAGACCAAGAGGGGCATTAAGACAGATTTTCCCTCCCCAGTTCCTTCAGGTCAGAGCTAAGACACATGCATAAAGCAAAAGGACTATTCATATTTTATGAAAGACAGAATACAAAGATATCATTAAGATGCCGTTACCTACTGTTACTTGTAATAACCGTTATTGCCTAGTATAAAAAAATGCATTACTTATTGTTTCCCACTACCAACTCCTGTCAGATTATAAATTCGTTGGGTGTAAACCCTTTCTGAGGATCTGGAAAGTGTCCATCATACTTTGGTTACTACTATGAAAATCCAGAACACGGAAATAAGCAGTAACAAACTTACTGTATTTGGCCAAGGGATTTCAGAATTCTGTGATGAAACTAAATATTTTCAAATCAATTGGCTAGCATTGTACTTTTTTCTCTTCTCCTTTGGTGGTATATATGTATAAGAGACTTATAATATCATGCTCACCATCAACAAAGACAGTTCTTAATATCAGCTTTACCATACTCTGTATCTGGTTTTAAGGGAACAGTTCACTTCACAATTTTCAACACAGGTGATAAGTACTCATGATACAAAAGAAACTTTCTTCTCCATCTTGCTGTTTCTGACATTAAATTTATCACCTTATTTTGCAATCCATTACAAACTTTAGCATGCAAATGATTTGTTGTTCATTATTTAAGCAGTGTTGTTATTTCATATGAAGTAGGCAAAATATTAAAAAAACCCTTGGCAGTATTCCTAAGGGAAGGTTTCATTATTTATGTATCTAATTCTCACGTATAGCATTATATGAACATATACTGCTTGAATTTAACTTAATTCAGATCTTTATAAAAGAACAGATTAATTTTTATAATAGTCAGTGGAAAGATTTTTGCAGCATGACTAGATTTTTTCAGTTCACTTCCTGGACGTTCTTGCAACTTGAACACACTGTATTTACCTGAATCCAAGACAACCTTGAGTTTAAGACTCCCCACCAATAATTAGATTCTATATGTGGAAAATTATAAATTTGTTATAATTGTCCATGTGTAGAATTTAATTATTGGAGGGTTATCTTGAATTTATCTTGCCTACAGCAATGCCAATAATGGGGGGCAGGAACTCCACCCATTACCCCCCTGCTTATTTTCCCATGCCTGTGCCCGTCACCCCACCCCTAACCAATTCATGCGTATGCCTGCTCTCCTGCTGCCTATCCCCACCATGCCTATGCCTATGCCTAACCCCCTGTCACTGGACCCCAAACAGTGTCTGTGCCTGCCCCCATCCCCATGTCTGTACCTGTCCCCCTGCATCCTGGTGCCTACCACCTTCTCCACTGCATGAGCCATTCCAGGCCAGGGCTGAAGTCAGAACTGAGCCACCACATGTCTCAGGCCAGTACAAAAAAAACTAAAACAAGGTTTTTTTCCCCACACCTCATGTTGATTGGGCAGAAAAAACCTTGTCTTGGATTCAAGTAAATATGGCATGTTGGATCTGAAAACTGATAAATAGATGCAGACAACAGACTTACTTCACAGACTTATTTCAGGGAGCTGGGGCACATAACTTCTGAGGAGAGGCTGAGGGAACTGGGCTTATTTAGCCTAGAGAAGAGGAGACTGAGAGATACAATAGCAGCCTTCAACTACCTGAAGCAGGGTTTAAAAAGAGGATGGAGCTAGACTGTTTTCAGTGGTGGCAGATGATAGAACAAGGAGCAACAGTCTCAAGTTGCAGCAAGAGAAGTTTAGGTTAGATATTAGGAAGAATTTTCTCACTAAGAGGGGTAGTAAAACACTGGAACAGGTTGCCTAGACAGGTGGTAGAATCTCCATCCTCGGAGGTTTTTAAGACACAGCTAGACAAAGCTTTGGCTGAGATGATCTAGTTGGGGATGGTCCTGCTTAAGGGTTGGACTAGATCAGGTGTGGGCAATTATTTTGGGCGGAGGGCCACTTACTGAGTTTTGGGAAGCCATTGAGGGCCACATGACAGGCAGCCAGGGACAGATAAATATTAATTTTCTAAATTTTTTAGGGGCCCTGTGGGCCAGATTGAATAACCTAATGGGGTGCTTCTGACCCATAGGCCATATTTTGCCCACTCCTGGACTAGATGACCTCCTGAGGTCCTTCCCAAATCATAGGTGAAGGGAGAAATTTTTCTTGGGGAGCACTAAGTGTGTGCATGCATGAACACGTGCCCCCCTCCATGAGAAAGTCTGTAGAGGAAGGAGCGGGGGGGAAGAATGGTGGGGGGTTGAAATGAGGCTAGGCCTGGCCTGGGCTGTGCTCAGGCCAGGCCAGGTCTTGGGGTAGTCAGAGCCCAGTGGCTTCTCCAGGTGTACGGCTCCACCTGCTGTGCACACCGTGGGGGAGCCAGGGGAGGGTGAGCATGTTCCCCTACCTTGGCTCTCCCATGCTGCATCCCTGGAGGAATATCTGGGCTCTGACTGTCCCACGACCCAGCCCAGCTGGGGTCCCACTCACAGTGAATGGGACCCCGGCCAGGCTGAATCACGGGACAATTGGAGCCTGGCAGCTCCTCCAGAGGTGTGGTGCAGCACTAAGGAGCCAAGGGAAGGAGTGGGGGGTGGGGGCATGTACCCCCCTGATCTTTCCACAGTGAAGGATGGGCCCCAGCTGCCAGCTGGGCTCTGCCTGCTCCCAGCCTCCGCGTCTCGCTGTCACTGCTTCAAAAGCAGCATGGTGTCACGTGCCTTGCTGCAGAGCCCACCCAGTGGTGGGATGTACATGGCACCACACTGCTTTCAAAGGTGGCAGGGAGTTGCAGAGGCTGGGAGCAGGTAGATCCCAGCTTGCAGCTGCAGCCCACCCTTGCCACATGCAAAGATCGGGGGGCACATGCCCCGCTGCCTTTGGATCCCTGCTGCCGTGCCTCTGGAGGAGCCACTGGGCTCTGATTGTCTCATGACCCAGCCCAGCCCCCCTTCATTGTGAATGGGGCCCAGGTCGGGCCAGGTCATGGGACAATCCCTACAGTGCAGCATGGAGTGGGGCAGGGGTGAACAATTCGCCCCTATCCCACTGCCTCCTGCACTGTGGGGGTCTTGATCTGCCCCCTGCCAAGCCCAGGTAAAGAAAGAAACTTACCTGCCTGCTAGGCTGGCTGTGATCCTTGCTGTGCAGGGATCTGAGTGCGTGCCCCTCTCCCACTACGTCCAGCCATACCTGCTGCCCCCTGCATTTGTGGGGGCTGAGCCCAGTTAACAGCCCCCTTCCATCACCTATGCTTCCAATCCTAATGTTCTATGATTCTATGATACACAGAAACTGTTGTGACCTCAAGCAAACCTGCTAGTGAAGTCTAGACTTTAGAGCCTCCTGATAAATTCACTGTAAGAAGTATAGACTTCTAGTAATTGTCACAGGGTACTTCAAGTGACAGAGCACTTAAAAAAACAAAAACAAACAAACAAACAAAAAAAAAAAACACAACTAGGTGGAAGGCAGAAACACAAGAAAGGCTGCCACTCTTTCCTGTCATTTTGTAGGATTTCTAAAAGCCTGTTGCAATCTACATATGAACCACTGCTGCAAACAAGCAACTGAGAAATCACTGATCTATGCTCAGTATCACAGTTCCTATATTCCCATGGCATGTAAGAAGAAAAAGAAAGTGATCAAGGTATGATAGATTAAAAAGGGCAAGGGTGTCTGTTCAGATGCTTGAAGAACGCTTAAAAAAAAAAAATCAGGTAAATAAATCTTAAACATTCAAACACGTAACAGTGCTATTAACAATCCTTCTGAAGCAAAAGTATCTGCGTTCAAATGATTGGAAATGTAAAGGTTATTATACTTGAATGTTGGTTATTTTGCCAACAAAAATCCTTGAACACAGGAAATCACCAAAACAATAAGTGACAGAAATCCTCAAAATGTGTCAGTTTTGTTCATCTAGGGCTACCAGCAGGTATTCAGCATGAGCGTTAGGAGTACAGCTTCTGAATCAGAACTTCCTAGATCTTAAATGCTGGAGGCTACAAGTGCAAGAGGAACCTGATCATACCCTGTCCTCTCTCCCTTTCAACATCCACTCTCTGCCACTGTGAGACACAGGATATTGGACAATACGGACCCATGGTACAACCCACTCAATGGCTGTTGTTATTATCTTAATGTTTCTGAGAGGCATAAGAGAGCCAAATTGGAAATTCTAGTATACCTCAGATATCTGACAGGATATTTTTCAGGATTTCATTAAAATAACACTTTTAATGTATTCAAGTGGACAACCACACACATAAATATTTACCATATACTAGGGTAATGCAAGAGACCCTTACAAAACACACATGGGCTCCTCTCAAGCTCAGCAGAGTGGCAATGGGTTAATCTGTTTTAGATAAATATATTCTGCAGTCCATACAGATTTTAGCTAGGAACTAAACCTAAAGCAGTATTTTAACTCTGTACACCACTGTGCACCATCCCTCAAGCAAAAAATTGTTGTGCAGGATGGAGTGCAGGCTCTTCAGGGCAAAAGACACTAAGCTAACTAAAATCAAGAGCAGCAATACAGCAGAAGGAATTACATCTTTTTGGTGTTTAAGAGGTTAAAAAAAATACATATTTTGACCCTATAATTGGAAGTGGCAAGCAGGAAGACCTGTCCAGAGGGTGGGGGGTATGGAGGGATATGTACCAACCCTGAGTAATCCTTTTCAGAACTTGGTAATCTACCATGCTGCAAAAAGCCCCTAAACTTTAGCACAGAAGGATAAAAAACTTCACATCTTTTTAAAGTTGGAAATACAGAAAAAGGCTTTTTATATTACTAT